ATTTACACGAGCGCACTGGATGCGCTCGTGTCAATTCACACGAGCAGGCCAAAGTCCGATTTTTTTCCTTTTTTTTTTTTTTCGAATTCGTAATCTAAATAACAAGAGGATCGTAAAAATGTAAAAATTACCTCCGATTTGTTGACGATTTGCACGGGCTTTGCGAAAGAAAATCGAAAGGTTGGGAGAGTTTTTGAGTTTTTTCACTTTTTGTTGTTTGAAGAATGATAAAAAATGTCTGACTGTTTAATATGTGCCTGCACAAATCATTTCAGATAACACTTACTTTGGTAATGTTAATCCGAATTTGCTATTTTATAATCATTTTTCCATTATCGGCGCGCTTTCATCCGCAGCCAAAAATCCACAATCCTATTCACGAAAATGGTTCCAGCAAAACGGAATAATCTCCACCGGCACGACCAATCCACCGCCGCCGATCGATATGTTTCTATCGATTCTGATTCGTCGACGAACAATAATTTCTGGCATCAATCGAAGACCACAACCACCGTCACACCCGTAGCTTCGGGCAACAGCGCAATGGCGATTTCAGGCGGCGGCGGCGGCGGTACACCACACTTGCATCCACGATTTGCTTTTCCGGCGGTAAAATCGCTATGCATTTAATATGTCATAGCATTTTACTGTTTCTCGTTAGGTAACGCCTCAGATTTATCTTTGTTTAGGGTGAATTGTCTCTAAATTCTAAAGAATTGAAATAATTTTTTAGGTTATTATATTGAAGTTATTAATTTGATTAAAAAGATCACTTGTTGGATAATTAAGTTGAAGATATTACCAAATCAAGGATAACTCTTGATTCAAAGCAATCCATCACAATTGACTTTTGACAGAGTGTAAACAAAAGCTTGACCAATTATGTTTCTTCATTGGGTGGGTTACTCTGATCCGACTAAGTTTAATTAGGTTAAAATAACCAAGTCAATGATGTTGGTATTGGATAATCTAATGCAGGTTATATTTGATTTTCTATTTTGTCTCTGATTCTTGAATAGTGAATGTGTTCATAAAACGAGTAGTACCCTTTCCGGTATTCGTTTCTTTCATTTTGTGATCTTCCCCATCCTACGAGTAACATTTTTTGTGTATGATCGAATCTTATATACCTCACCAATAAAGAAAAATAGAAAGAAAAAAAAGGATTTCAATTATGTCATCTGATCTCTGCGGATCTCGCTTGTTTTTGGCTTTGCCTGATGATATATTAACTATAATAACGAGTTCCTTCTCTCCAGGGGATCTGTGTAATCTTGGTCTCACATGTCCAGGTCTCGACTCTTTTATGTCTTCACACAAAGTATGGCTTTTCCAATGTGATAAATTGGGTCTAGTTCCTTATACCACTCTCATTGAATGGAGAAAGGGAGTTTTTTCTTACAAGGCCCTTTGTCGGTTCTTGGTGAATATTCAACCGATGATTGGTACTTGGGTTCACCGAAATCCTGAACTCAGGCATGTAGTCTATGTTATGCCTGGTTTTCTATCAGTTGTTGGATGCCGGATAATTCCCCAAGAGATAGGCCCTTTAGGCCTTGAAGATGGTCCAATTTTGTGGACACCTGTCTTCGAAATCCTCTGCAATCATGTGGGGTCCACTTCGTTCTTTCTACACGGTAAGGAGCGAGGGGTAGATTACGTTTATCCTGGATTACTGAAATCAGTTGATAGGGATTGCAATGTTCTTTTGCTCGAGGTTGAGCATCGGCATCAACGGGGTGGAGGAAAACTGGCTGACCTTAAGAATTTTACTCATGAAGCAGATAACGAAGTATCTAGTTCACAGAGAATAGTTGGACGGAAATGGACTGAAAAGCCTTTTATCTGTTTGGAATCTGATGATAGGGAGCTGCTCCTCGAGTTTGTTACTAGCCAAGTCCGCGATATTGTTCCAGATGCAGCAAATGTGTTATTGTTTCCTCGCCCAAGAATAGATGCAGTTGATTCCCAACAAGATTTCATAGTCCTACATGAAAGGAGATTGCTGCTTTTACAAATGTACGAGCGCGGTAATATGAATCATGACTTAAAATCCGATGAAGGATCGCCTTTGAATCCCACCGAATTAGGATCGAGTGAGATCTCCAAAAGTGTGGACTGTACATGTAACTATCCGGCTTCTCAGGCAGGTGATGCAACACTTCACGAATTTCTTCAATTGGGTGATTGGGTTGGATTGAGTTTACAAGCTGAAACTAAGGAATTTTATTCTTGTAAACATTGGCCTTACATGTACGAAAGTCTATCTGCTTTCTATAAATTCCCTATTCGGGCTCCCAAGGCATGTGACGAGGAGTATGCTGGTTTATGGGGAGGGACTTTTGGTTTGCCACCATCTGCAGACAAACCTGGAAAGCCCCTTTTCTTGATTTACATCTCTTATGAAGAGTCCGAAGGGAAGCAACAAATGATTGCCAACAAGATACTAGATGGTAAATCCCGTCTTTCTCCTTTTAATGGATCGACTATGTTTATAGTGAATATAGATGAACCGTCCATGACCATATTCCCATGGAATACAGACCAACAATCGAATCCTATTAGTGTTATGCAGTCATTTAAGGGAGAAGGTATTTGCTATTGGTCTCGTCACAGATATCCTAGTATTGAACCTGGTTCGCTTTTTGTTCTTGAAAATGGATTGCTCGTTTATTTGTGGGAGCATGCAAGGGAGGTGTTGACTTTGAAGAGGCTTTATTTGGGGGAGCTTTTGAAGAGGGGTGAAAGATTGCCTTCTTTCCCGCCAGTTTTGAACTTTGCGCATCTAACGAGCAAGTATAGAAATATTTACCCTGGATTTTCACATTCTTGAAACGGCTCTATTTTTTCCAAGGTACGACTCTCTGTAGACCGTTACTTCTTTTTACTTGTCTGACTTGGATATGGTAAATAATAGAATAATAATCTGTATCGTTCATACGATTAGGATTTAGGATCGAAGTGCTTTTTTGCATGTGCTTCATATGTGCATTTCTATATGGCATATGCTGATGCCATTTTTGTGGTTTTTTTCTTTACCCCAATTTATCATTGCAAATTCGTCATTTATGGTAATGCATATTTTTTTTTTTGACAGGTAAAACTATCTATAGAACTTTAGACGGTTTGTATTCTTCTCCTCTGGCGTTTCACTAATCAAAGAAGTTCGATATATTCTTTCGGCTCTCTGCTTGATATGATATCCTGTGACCGAGTCTTGGTAGATCATATTTGCATAACCATGGTGTTTAGAAATGTTAAGTTTGATGTTTTATAAATAAAAATTGATGCTGAAAAGTTGGATTTATTTGAGCAACGGTAAGTTTGGTCAGGATATTATTTTTGTGTTTTGGGTGCAGTTTTCATGTGAAATATAAATGACTTATTCTCATTCGGTTTATTTTCCGTTTTCGGTTTGGCATAAAATAGATATTTGATAAACTATGAATTTCGGCTTTTTAGCCCATTTGTGTGAGGATTAACAATAATAACCCGCCATAGCCCAAAATAACGCATTTCACTGTTTCTCGTTGGGTAATGCCTCAGATTTATTAATAAAAACATTAGTTGGATTCAATTTGACTAGAAAGTTCTTACCTGTTTATGAAAATATATCAAATTGACTCTTCACAATAGGTTAAGAAAATGATTTTTTCTTCCCAGCAATGCATTAATTGTGAACAATGATCACCATTTTCTGTTTATTTTTTACCTTATTATATCTCTGAAGTCTTCTTGATGAAATTACAGTGTTGTGATGCTGTGAAAATGGTCTTTATTTATGGCGAATTGTCTCTAAGGAATTGAAATATTTTTTGAATTTATTATATTGAAGTTAGTTTGCTTACAAAAAACCACTTGTTGGATAAATTATGTTGAACATGTTAGCAAATCATGGATAACTCTCGATGAATTTAATTTGCCATTTCAAGATTCAAAGGAACCCCTCGTCTCCCCTCTCTCTCTTCTTACTTGTTCACCATCTATCCATAATGATTTGACTTTTGACAGAG